TGAGTTCTCTCCAGGAGATGTGAGTTTCCATGTATGTTATTTGAGAGATGTGAGTTCTCTCCAGAGGATGTGAGTTTCCCTACATACCGATAGTTCGACGGCAGTTGGGGTGTTACAATCACAGTGGAGCCTTTCGTTTCGATAAGGTACTTCAAATGCTTGAGTACACCATGAGGCCCATGAAGATTGAAGGGAACCTTGAATGAAGGAGATAAATAGTATATTCTCAGAGCAAGCTCATCAAATCATGTTTTGGAAAATGAGAGTAATAACAGAAATAAAGAAGTACCTCAGGAATCAAGCAGATGTCGACTTGCACGCTTGCTAGAGAGGCTTGCATCGCAATGAAACCACTATTACGTCCCATCAGTTTTACAACACCGATGCCATGATAAGCACTATGTGCCTATTACAAAGACCATATCAGGAAGAAAAAGCATATCGTAATGACTAAGTACTTAAAGCAAAGAGACATATTAGTTGAATATCCATAGAAAGTGAAATCGAGTACATGAAAGTCACCTCGATGTAGGCAAAGTTTATAGCTCGTTGTGCTTCTTCAACGGCGGTGTCAAGCCCAAAAGTTTTATCCATATGCAAAACATCATTGTCAATGGTTTTTGACACACCAACTACAGCTACCTTTACCTTTTCTTTGCGGCATTAGAATTAAAAAGCAAGAGAGAGTGGTAAATCAAACTATTTCAAAAAAATGAAGATACAATACTCTACTCTACTCTACTCGCTAAGAAGGATAGAATGCAAAACTATGTTCACAAGAACAACATTTAGTTGCAAGTGTTAAGTAACAACCTCATTGTGTATAGCGTTGGCGCCAGCATGAGTACCGTTTCCACCCAGCATGAAAAGCATGTTGATTCCTCTCTCCTAAGTAAAGTCAATTTCCGGAATTCAGAATCTGTGATCTCAGAAACTTGGAAACTTTTTTTTTTTTTATTAAAAAAGTTCCTTTAAGGACTGGAAACGAAATGATACCTCCATGTTGTCAACAATTTCACTGACACTCGGACCTCCACGTGAAACTCCAAGCAAACTTTCTTCAGATAGATGAATATTCTTTCGAAATGCTGAATCGACGACGAAGCTCGAAACGGAGATCTCGATTTACGGAGGATTAAAGAAGTGAGACCATAAGACCTGACGAGAACAAAGCTCGTTTTGTAAGGAGGAGAACTGATTGGCTGAGAAAGAGCGTCCATGGCGACAAAACTGAGGTTCCGCTTGGATCTCTCAGTCAACTATGGTTTTTCTTTTGGGAGGGAATTTATCAATTACATAAAAAAACAGTTTGTTTTTTTTCTTAATGTTGTGAGAGTTACTAAAGTTTTTTTTTGTTTTAACATGGTTGCCTTCTCTCTAGAAACCTCTTTTGTTTATCTTTTATCATTTTCTCCCTAAAATCTTTTCCGATCAATCTTGGTTTTTTGTTTTTTGATGGCCGGTGACCCGCGATCTCCTTTTGCCGGTACTATGTCTTTGTAAATATCTCTCTAAAAAATAAACTCCTCGGTTTCTCTTCTTCTTCTTCTAATCTTCCCATCGCTTATGTCAACTCTAGATCTCATCTAGTTTAAAGCGGCACTGTCTCCGACTTTGTTCAAGATTTGTTTTGGCTTTGTTCGAGATCTTTGTTCGGCTTTGTCCGAATTTTTTTCTACCTTCTGCATGTATTCCAGGTCTAAAACTGACCGTTTATTTTCAGAGTTCTCTGCGATTGTTCACCAAGCTTGATTTTTTACTTTTGCAAGGGAGTAATATCTTTATCAACCTATGAATGGGCCTACAAGTTAGGTATTAGGTGAAACTTCCCTTCGAAAGTGGATCTTTGGGCTTATTTCAATGTGATAGCGTGGAAATTTTGAGTGATATAGGCTGTTATATTATGTGGAAGGTATTCTTTGTGATGTTTCAATGAAGTCCTGGCGGCGGAACTATGGTAGATCATAGATTGGCCGGCATCGTCTGCGTCAACATCTTCTTCACCTCATGTGTTAACACGTTGCATTGATGTTCTTATCCTTATCTTAACTAAAAATGTAATCGATGGACAGTGTGCTTTGTAAAAGCATCAAGTGTATTACCATTAATGGGTTTGCATCTTAATGAATTTGGCCGACAAAAGAAAAAAAATACTGTAATATTCTTTTAACAAGTAAAAAGGAAAATTTAGACCACAATCTCTCACAATTGGGAAAAAAGAGAATGGGTATCTCAATAAAACGAAGAAAACAAAAAAAATTGGATGAG